TGTCGCCACTTTCGGAGGCTGCTGGTGGGTCCTGCGGGGTGACGCACCGCGCGGGCCTGAGCGGGACCTCGCCGTCCCTGGGGGGCTGCGATATGCGAAACTGTCGCCACTTTCGGGGGCTGCTGGTGGGTCCTGCGGAGTGAGGCACCGCGCGGACCTGAGCGGGACCTCGACGTCCCTGGGGGGGCGGCGATCTGCGCCACTGTCGCCACTTTCGAGGGCTGCTGGTGGGTCCTGCGGAATGAAGCACAGCGTGGATCTGAGCGGGTCCTCGCCGTCCCTGGGGGGCTGCGATCTGCGAAACTGTCGCCACTTTCGGGGGCTGCTGGTGGGTCCTGCGGAGTGAGGCACCGCGCGGACCGGGGGCTGCGATCTGCGAAACCGTCGCCACTTTCGAGGGCTGCTGGTGGGTCCTGCGGAATGAGGCACCGCGCGGACCTGAGCGGGACCTCGCCGTCCCGGGGGGGGCTGCGATCTGCGAAACGGCCGCCACTTTCGAGGGCTGCTGGTGGGTCCTGCGGAATGAAGCACCGCGCGGACCTGAGCGGGACCTCGCCGTCCCTGGGGGGCTGCGATCTGCGAAACTGTCGCCACTTTCGAAGGCTGCTGGTGGATCCTGCAGAGCGAGGTACCGCGCGGACCTGAGCGGGACCTCGCCGTCCCTGGGGCGATATGCGAAACTGTCGCCACTTTCGAGGGCTGTTGGTGGGTCCTGCGGAGTGAGGCACCGCGCGGACCTGAGCGGGACCTCGCCGTCCCTGGGGGGCTGCGATCTGCGAAACTGTCGCCACTTTCGAGGGCTGCTGGGAGGTCATTGCGGATTGGGGCACCGCGCGGATCGAGCGGGACCTCGCCGTTCCCCTGTGGGTTGGTTTGTGTTTGTTGGTGGTTTTTTGGGGTTAGTGGGTGGGTGGGGGGTGGTTGGTGGGGGTGGGGGGGGGGGTGCTTTGGGGGGGGGGGGGGCGTGTGGGCGGCGATCTGCGAAACCGTCGCAATTTCGAGGGCTGCCCGGTGGGCCTGGCGGGAGCGAAGAACGCGCGAACCGAGCGGGGTCCTCGCCGTCCCGAGGGGGCCGAGTCTGCGAAAACTGTCGCCACTTTCGAGGGCTGCTGGTGGGTCCTGCGGGGTGAGGCACCGCGCGGACCTGAGCGGGACCTCGCCGTCCCTGGGGGGCTGCGATCTGCGAAACGGTCGCCACTTTCGAGGGCTGCTGGAGGGTCCTGCGGAGTGAAGCTCCGCGCGGATCTGAGCGGGACCTCGCCGTCCCTGGGGCGATCTGCGAAAGTGTCGCCACTTTCGAGGGCTGCCGGTGGGTCCTGCGGAGTGAGGCACCGCGCGGACCTGAGCGGGACCTCGCCGTCCCAGGGGGGCTGCGATCTGCGAAACTGTCGCCACGTTCGAAGGCTGCTGGTGGGTCCTGCGGAGTGAGGCACCGCGCGGACCTGAGCGGGACCTCGCCGTCCCTGGGGGCCTGCGATCTGCGAAACTGTTGCCATGTTCGAAGACCGCTGGTGGGTCCAGCGGAGCGAGGCACCAGGCAGATCTGAGCGGGACATCGCAATCCTTAGGGGGGCTGCGAGCCTCACGAATGCCGCTCGCAGCAATAGATGCGCCCATGTCACGTCATCACCTCCGTATAACGTCTCCCAAGCTACTCATGCCCCACATTGCGTAGGGGTTGGGTACGTCGCCAGGGTTATCATTATTAGTAGTGGTGTTAGTACGATTAGTAGTATTAGTATTCGTAGCATTATTAGTATTAGTAGTAGTATTGTTATTAGTAATAGATTTATTATTCGTATTAGTAATACTATTATTCGTAGTAGTACTAGTAGTAGTAGTAGTAGCAGCAGTAGCAGTAGCATTAGTATTAGCATTACTATTAGCATTAGTAGTAGTAGTATTATTAATAGTTGTATAAGTATTACCAGTATTAGTATTATTATTACTACTATTAGTATTAGTATTAGTATTAGTAGTAGTGCTAGTATTAGTATTGTTACGATTGCTATTATTGATATTCGTGTTACTATTACTACTACTACTACTACTACTACTACTACTACTACTACTACTACTACTACTACTACTACGACTACTACTACTTACTACTACTACTACTACTACTACTACTACTACTACTACTACTACTACTACTACTACTAACTACTACTACTACTACTACTACTACTACTACTACTACTACTACTACTACTACTACTACTACTACTACTACTACTACTACTACTACTACTATTGTTAGAAGTAGAAGCATTAGTATTGTTATTATGTGTAGTAGTATTCGTATTAATATTATTAACAGTGGTCCGAGTATTGTTCGTAGTGGCATTATTCGTCTTCGTCTTAGTATTTGTCTTATGAATATTACTCTTAGTGTTACTAGTAATCGTAGTCGCCTTCGTTTTCTTGGTATTATTCTTCTGCATATTATTATGTGTAGTGTTATTAGTAGAAGTAATCTCAGTAGTATTCGTATTATTCGTCATGTCATAATTGTTAGTATTAGTAAGATTATTACTATCAGGGTGTTAGTGTTGTTCGTCTTAGCAGCATCCGTATTATAGGTATTAGTATGTTTGTTATGCTTATGAATATGTTTGCTATTATTCCTCCTCCTCCTCCTCCTCCTCCTCCTCCTCCTCCTCCTCCTCCTTCCGCTCCTCCTCTCCCTCCTCTCTCTCCCCTCTCCTCCTCCTCCTCCTCCTCCTCCTCTCCCGCTCCTCGCCTCCTCCTCCTCCTCCGCCTCCTCCTCCTCTTCTCCTCCTGCTCCCCTCCTCCTCCTCCTCCTCCTCCTCCTCCTCCTCCTCCTCCTCCTACTCCTACTCCTCCTCCTTCTCCTCCTCCTCCTCCCCCTCCTCCTCCTACGAGTTCTCCTACGATCATTCCCTCCCCTTGGCTGGTCGAGTTTTGAATGGTCTGTGTTGGGCTGGGCTGGGTTGGGCGCCCCCTCCCCCCTCTTCCTCTCTTGACCCCTCCCAGTCCTTGCTAGAGGTCGCCGTGGAGGCGAGACGCTAACGGGGCGACATGTGGCGCATAGACGGCTTACCTATTTACAAGGCTGCGGTGGGGTCGGAAGCGATGGATCGAGCTGGGGCGGGCTCTTCCCCTCTCCCCTCCCCTCCCTCCCTCCCTCTCAGTCCTGCAGGATCGGGTTGGGCTGGGTTGGTGCAGCCTGGGCCTCTTTTCCTCTTCCTTCCTCCTCCTTTCCGGCTCTTCTGCCTTCGCACGGCACGGCGCCAACTTCTGCATCGGCTCCCCATGCGACCTGGGGTGCCCCCTGCCATCGGGGATCGCGGTCAAGAGGGCGCTTCAGCGATGTCTCGCCTGGGCCTCTCTGCCGCCCCTGCTCTTTCCTCCCTCCCTCCCTTCTGGTCCTCGCTGGGGTGGGATGGGCTGGGGTGGGTCCGTGTCGTCGCCTTCGGCGTCTGCGGCGCCGTCGTCGTTGCTGTTGCCGCTGTGCTGTCTTCGTCGCCGTTGCTGTGGCTGTCCCTGCCGCCGCCGTGGTCGTCGGCGTTGGCGCCGCCGCCGCTCCCGCTGTCGTCGTTGTCGTCGTCGTCGTCGACGTCTTCGTCGTCGCTGCGGCGTCGCCTTTCCCTGCCGAACCGCGAGGGCGGTCCGCCGGGTTTCGCCCCCGAGCTCCGCCGCCGGATCGGGGGCCCCTGGTCGCCTCCTGCCCCTGGGCATTTCTTGCGGTGCCAAACGGGCCTCTGTTTGGAACCGGAAAATATGCCGGGGGGGGTTGCTGGGCCCGTCGCGGTGGCCGCCGGGCGCGGCCTGGCCCTGCAGGGGCTCCCCGAGCAGTTTTTTGAGGTACCAAGCAGGCCTTTCTGCGGCATTGCGAAAACTGCCCGGGAGGGCCGCTGGACCCGCCTCGGTGGCCGCCGGGCGCGGCTGGCTGCCAGGGATGTCGGGGGAGTGTATCCAGGCCCGCCGGTGTGCGCTTCGGGCCTCTTCTTTTTTCGGGGTGGGCCCTAACGGAGCGGACGTTGGATCGCTCCTTGCCCCCCTCCCTCCCTCCTTCCTCCCTCTCCTGGTCCGTTCCCTCTTGGAGGCCTGCGTGGAGTTCCTGGATCGGCGTTGGGCCCCCCTCCCCGTATCTCGCGCCTCCTCCCCAGCGCTCTGAGCGGGGGACGCTGTTGCGGCTGTTTCCGGAGTGTGGCGAGGGGGGTCGGGCGCCGACCTGGACCTCGGCGCGGACCCTTGGAGCCGGTCGTGGCTGGGGTGGGATGGTTTTTGGGATGGGCCGGCTGCGCCCCCCCCTCCACCTCTGATTCTCTCTCCCTCCATCCGGTTAGCCTCGTACCTACGTCGTGCTTTGGCGTAGGATGGAGTCGAGACCAGGCGAGGATCCCTGCCAGAAAGCCGCTGATGCCCCTCCCCATGAATACCCAAAACCAGCGTTTGCCTTCCGGTTTTGGGCGTGGCACCTCCCCGGAGGGAGCCTGGGAAACTGAGGGAAGTTTGGGCAAGGTGGCACGCAAGTCCTCATACCCTCCCCCTCTCCCAGGGCTGCTTCCCGAGAGTGGTCTGATCCAACCCTGGGCTGACGTTGTGGGGTTGCTGTCAGTCGCTGGCTGGGCCCCGCAGCTCTCCACTAAACGGGCTGAGCCCGCAGTCCCAACATGCCACCTCGCTGGGAGGTCACCAACCAACCAACCAACTCTTCTCCCTCACCCTTCTCCTCCCCCCCTCCTCCTCCTCGTCCTCCTCCTCCTCTTCCTCCTCCTCCTCCTCCTCCTCCTCCTCCTCCTCTTCCTCCTCCTCCCCATTCCCCTCCTACGACTTCTCCTACGATTCCTCCGCCTCCTCTTCCTCCTCCTCCTCGTCCTCCCCTCCTCCTCCTCCTCCTCCTCCTCCTCCTCCTTCTCCTCCTCCTCCTCCTCCTCCTCCTCCTCCTCCTCCTCCTCCTCTTCCTCCTCCTCCTCCGACGACGACGACGACGACGTCGACTACCGCGGCGCGGCCACGACGAGAGGCGGGGGCCTCCGCGGCCCGGCCGTCGCTCGACTGCTGCATCAGGTCGCGCCGGAAGCCGCGGAAGAAGTCGACGATGACGTCGTTGAAATCTATCGACGCGCCGTCCCGGGCCTCGCGGAGCCATTTAGAAGAAGAAAAAACGACGTAAACACAAACTTTTGGCGCTTCGCGCGGGTTTGCTGGCTCTGCGCTGGGCCCCCGGGCGGCGCCAGAGGCGCCGCCAGGGGGGCCCGGCGCGGATCCGAGAAATCCGCGCGGATCGCCAAAAGTTTATATTTACGGCGTTTTTTCTTCTTCGATCATTGTCGCCGCCGTCGTTTGGCGGCGCGCCGCGATGCATCACCGACGTACCGGTGATGCAGCGGGATCCTCCCAGGGCGAAAAGCTGATCACGAGGAGGGGTCGAGACCTCTAGGGGTCGACGTCACGAAGAAATCATGGACTCGGGGGTCTGTCAGCCACCCGCAGAGGGGGGTAGGGGGAGGGGGACTGCTTCTTAGATGGCGCCGGCCATGCATCTGTAGAGCGCCTTCTAAGAGGCAGCCACCTTCTAAGAAGCCTTCCCCCTTTCCCATACCCCCATCTGCGTATGGCCGAGAATCATCGCCGTCACCTTCGCCATCACCGTCGCTGTCGCCGTCGGCATCGTCGTCGCCGTCGCCGTCGTCGTCCCTCTCCAGGGTCGGCGGCACTGGCCGCAAGGCCTTCGCAATGTATCAACGCGCCGTCCCAGGCCTCGCGAGTGCCGAATCGGCTGCACGCAAGAGTCGAGAAACAGAGAGCAACATAAACATGCACTTCTGGAGGTCCGCGCGGATGTCTCGGATCGGCGCCAGAGCCCCCTGGCGACGCCTGCGGCGCCGCCCCGGCGCCGCCCTGGCGCCGCCCCTGGCGCGCTCCGAACGCCAGGGTGAGGGGTCCAGCGCCGATCCAAAACAGCAGAGCGGACCGCCGAGATCGGACGCTGGTGCCATGACTTGTCCCTCGAGAGAGCGACCCTGGACAGGAGCGCCCTTTGGTGCGCGGCTCTGGGGAGGTGGCGCGGGGGAGCCAAACCCAATGAGGGGCAACGATAGGGGGGGACTGGCATAGGGGGGATGCATCGACCTGGCATCGGCGATACATTGCCGATAGATCGGCGACAGGCCTCCGAGGGTGAATCCGCACCTCCCTGGGCAGGCTGGGGCTATCGGGCCCCAATCGGCGATCAATGGGCGATTGGGGGTCGATGCCTATCCCCCCCGATCGTTGCCCCTGACCCAAGCGCGCAAGCCGCTGCCGCCGCCTCACTGTCGGCGACCCGGGGGCCCCCGAGGGGCCACGCCGAGAGGTCACCCCGGCGAGGGGCCCCTCCGTGCGCACGGTCCTAGTGCTGCCCTCGGCCGGGCGAGGCTCGAGGAGGGAGCCGCTCGAGCGGCCGCGGGAGGACTTTGGGGCGACGCGGGCCCGTCTCGGGCCCCCGGAAGCCTCGGAGAGGCCTCGGGGGGCATCTGGCCGTCAGGATCCGAGGCAGCACCAGAACGCGGCGCGCGCGAGAGGCTCGCGAACTCAGACCTCCGACGCCTCGAGCGGATCAAGACCGAGTCGTTCGCTGAGTCTGGCTTCTGGGAGCCGTCTTCGTGCAAAGGGATGATGAGCCGGAGGGACTGCGCAGGTCTTCGGAGATTATTGCTCGAGCTGTTGGAGGTCTGCCTCTCCCATCGCTCTCCTCCTGGCGCTCGTTTCTGGCCCTCTCGAGCCGGGGGGAGGGGGGGCGGGGGGGCGGTCGTTGCCACCGCCATGCGTAGCTGGGGGGGAGGAGGACGAGGAGGAGGAGGAGGAGGAAAAGGAGGAGGAAAAGGAGGAGAAGGAGAATATTCCTGGATATTCCGATATCACAAAAGTGATTATGAATCTCAGGCCGCTCTCTGAAATCGAACGAGAAGTAGCCGAACCGAAAAACAAAGGACAGGACAAACAGGAGCCAGAGGAGGACGACCACAGCCGCGCATACTCTGATGAATCCCTCGTTGCACACAGAGAATGAATATCACATTGCACTCCAAAAAGACAGCCAGGTAAGCAGAGATGAATTCAAGTCGATACGGCCGTCCATGATGAAGCCCACCACAGGTCACTAGGCAAATTCTAACCGAACAAACTCGGAAGCTGTACGGGTAATGAGCTCGTTTCCTCCATTAACTGCCTTACCAGCAGCCAGACTAAAAAACAACAAATACCCGCTACCAAATGCGCAACTGAATTCCTCCAATCCTGCCCACAGCCCAAAGTTGAACAGTTATACATGCACAAGAAAGCTCCAACCACAAATAGCCCAGAAAATAATCCTTGCGCTGGCCAGGCTGAGCCAATACTAAAAAGCTTTTGCCTTGCGCTGGCCAGACTCTGCCACTAACAAGGCACTTGTTGCTGAGGCCCACAGAGAACTTGGTGAGCACGTGCGGAAAATCAGGGCCACAGGTTCAGGAACCAGCCGAAGACGGGGAAGACCCCGCACAGGATGGACCTGAACCGACCTATCTCCCGCAAGTAGAACACGAAAAAGACGCCGAGCGCTGCTCAACTCTTTGTCCGATTTCGCCACCGCGATCTGCAACCCAATGAAACAGGTGACGACGCGGTGCCACCCAAGCGCCACATTGCAGCGTCGGACACGACTCTGAACTCGCGGGGAAGCCAAAATGCTAAGGATAGCCTCGAGCCGATGCTTGAGAGGAGGAGGAGGAGGAGTAGGAGGAGGAGAAGGAGAAGAGGAGGAGGAGGAGAAGGAGGGGGCGCTCGTTGCCACCGCCAGGCGCAGCTGGGGGAGGGTGCCCGGGAGGGGTCCGGGGGCCGATCTTGAACAGGGTCGGTCTGGGAGGGCTCCCGGGCCGGGCCGCAGGCCCCAGGGGGTGCTCTCCGGCAGGCCGCCGCGTCCACTCGAGAGCCTCTATCCTGTGGCGGCAGGGTCACCCCCCGCACGGCCCGCGGGCCCATGGTTTGCGGCCGGCGATCAAGAGACAGAGACCCCTCGGTCAGAAGAAGTCGGTAGAAACATGGAGTAGGAAGGCGTTGAAAGTGGATTGGGTTCCGTCCGCCCCATTGGGGGGGCGGAACAGGTGAAGCCACTCGATCATTGAAGTAGGGAGGCGCTTAAAGCAGACTGGAATCTGGGAACCCAGAAATACCTACTTTCAAAGACCGATGGGTAAACTTGTCTCTCTTCACCCACCTCCTGGGGCCCGCGGGCTGCACACACTTTTAAGTCGGCGGCGCAGGGGAACCTCGGGCGCGGACGGCAAGGGCTGCACACACGCACACACTCACACACAGATTGGCTCTACTGGGCCACGAGTCGGCCCCGAATCGGTCCAACGGGTCGTCTTGGCTTTCTGGGCACCCGGGGCCTGGCGAGCCATCTCCACCAAGCTCTTCACGCGCTGCCACTGGAAGACGGGCCTGCCAGCGCCGTCCTCTTTGAACACTATGTTCATGAGCTCGCGCCGCAGGGACGGGTCTGGGTCGCTGAGCAGCCGCTTGGAGGCGTAGGGAAGCGCCACGGTGATGATGCTGAAGTCTGGGTTCAGGCACAGGCAGATGCCCTCCTGCATAAGCAGGGCGCGTATCACCAGCGAGAAGCGCTCTGGAACGCGGATGGGAAACTGGTAGACCAGCTGGTTGAAGCGCGCCGTGACAGTCCGGAAGTTGAAATCCCTGATGCTCTTGCCCATGGAATCCTTCCATATGTCGGCCATTGCTGGCACAATTCCCGACACGTCCGCGCCAGGCCGCAGGAAGCCCAGCCGCACAAAGTCGTTGGCGATCCCGGCGTAGTCCGAATTGCTAACGTGCGTGATGGCCTGCAGGAGGACAATCCGCTGCTTCTGGCTGATCGTTGCGACGTTCCCGAAATCCACGTAAGCGATCCTCCCGTCTGGCATCGCGAAGATGTTTCCAGCATGCGGGTCGCCGTGGAACAGGCCGAACTCCAGCAGCTGCCGCAGCGCGGCCTGCACGCCGTTGCTGATGAATGCGTCGACGTCGATGCCCGCGCGCCTGAGGCCCCCAAGGTCTGTACTCTTGACCCCGCTTATCCACTCCATCGTGATCACCCGTTCGCTACTATGCTCGGTGAAAATCTTTGGGATCTTCACCATCGGATCTCCGGCAAAATTCCGCTCGAAATTCTGCGCGTTTGACGCCTCCACAGCGTAGTTGGCCTCCTCCCACAGCTTAGCCCCGAACTCGTCCACCACCAGCGTGATGTCGCACCCCAGGCTCCGGCGCGCCCAATCGTTGAGCAGCTGGGCGAACTGACGGAAGATGTACATGTCGACAGCTATCACGTCCTCGAGCCCCGGCCGCTGCACCTTCACGGCGACCTCCTCGCCAGTGCCGCGCAGCCTCCCGCGGTACACCTGGCCCAGGGACGCGGCAGCGACGGGCTCGGCACTGAGCTCGGAGAAGACCTCGCCGAGATCCCGGCCCAGCTCCTGCCGGATGATGGCCCTGGCTTGGCCGGAGGGGAAGGGCGGCACCTTGGGGTGGCGACATCCGAGCCCTGCCCCCGCCAACCATCGACCCTCCTGAATCGATGGGAAGCGGGTGTAGGGAACGGAGTTCGCCACGCGCTCGACGCATTCCGAACCCTACCCCCGCCGCCCATCGGGGTGCCCGAACCGTGGATCGGCGAGGGTAGGGCTCGGGATTCGCCGCCGAGCCTTGTCCTGCAGCTCCTCGAGCTCCACCATGTAGTCGTCGCGCACGATGTCGGGGCGGTTCGCCAGGGCCTGGCCGACCTTGATGTAGCAGGGCCCCAGGTCCAGGAGCGTCTCCCGCAGCTGGCGCGACCTTCTCTGCACGGCGTCTGGCCCGGTGTCCCCCCGCCACTCGTCCAGCGCGAGCGCCGCGTAGAAGGCGCCGAGGCTCCAGGCGACCTTCGCGGCCCGCGCCGCGACGGCCAGGGGCTGCTCGAGCGCCCTCTCCCGCACCCTTTCTGGGTTGTAGCCCTCGCCCTCGGCGACGACGCGGAAGCTCCTCTCGCGGGACAGCTGGTCGTAGTCCCTCGCCGCCAGCAGACCAGACTGGAGCCGTGGCCTCATCTCGGCTGCACGCAGGAGTGGCCCTAGTAGGCAAGAGGGACCTTTGGTGCGCGGCTTTGGGGGGCCGCGGGGGGGGGGGGGGAGAGCCGAATCCGAGCGCGCCTGCCATTGCTGGAGGGACCCCTGTGGGCCCGCACCAAAGGTGGTCACTCTGGCGAACGGTCACGCTTACGCGTAGCCGACCTCCGACCCCAGACATTCGGCGTCTTGACTTTTTCCCTGCGGGGTCCCCAGAAGTCCCGAGCACTTCCCCATGACCGGGTTTGCAGATCCAGGATCAGATTTTGACGGTCCGGGGAGCCAGCGAGGACCCCTGGAGGCCGAAAACGACAAAGACCCTCCGTCGTGACCTTGTTACGACGCGAGCATGTCTGGGGCTGGAGCCGTGGCTAGGGAGCCCACGAAGGACGTACGCACCCAACCATGTACATGAATACGGCCTCCTAATCCGCGAGACCTGCCGCGCGATACGAAGAGCGATCTTTCATTCGCGGCCAGAAAGGGCGTTATTGGGGGGAGGGACGTAGCCCCCCCAGTGGTGCCGAACGACCTGCGGCAGTGCGGGGGACGCACTGCTGGGGGGGAGCGCTACGTTGTGGGAGGGGAGGGGCGGGGAGGGGAGGGGGCATAACGCGTGGTATGGCCCAGGGGAACATATATACACACACACATACATACATACATATATATAGAGATATAGATATGGTCGCCCCACCCAGCGCCCCCCAAACCACCAAAACCACAATTTCATTATTGATCGTCTGCTCCTTCTCATCCTCCTCCTCTTCATCCTCCTCCTCTTCCTCCTCCTCCACACAAGATCATACATCTTCTTCTCCCATGCATCCCATATCACTTCTTCCATGCATCTGATCACCAGCGCCCTGCCCTCGACCTCCCAAAACCACAAAAACAAACAAACATACACAGTATCTGGCGCCCTCGATGCAAGGAAACGCCGCGTATGTTTGTTTATGTTTGTTTCTGTCGGTGTGTGAATCAACCAAAAAAACACTGTGTATTTTTGGTGTTGGGTTTTTCTTTGGTTTTGGAATCCCATGTTCGCCGCGGCCTCCCTACCAGCACACTTCTCTCTGCGTCCCAAAAGTATGTTTAAATCTAATAAAGTTTGGCGCCCTCGATGCAAGAAAACGCTGTGTATGTAGGTTTTGTTTGGTTGTTATGGTCTGTGCATCCACGAAACACTGTGTATGTTTAGTGTTTTTCTGTTTTTTGGGTTTGGGAACCCCATTTTCGCCGCGGCATCCCTACCAGCACCCTTATCTCTGCTTCTTGTTTTCCAACAAAAAACACACAAAAAAAAAAAAAAAAAAAAAAGAAGAAGAAACAACAAAAAAAAAAAACAAAAAAAAAAAAAAAAAAAAAAAAAAAAAAAAAAAAACGTGATTCGTTGATTCGGAAACCAAAAAAAAAACGATACACAGCGTTTCCTTGCATCGAGGACGCCAAACACTGTGTATGTTTGTTTTTTTTATTTGTCTTTGGTTTTGAAACCCCCATGCTCGCCGCGGCCTTCTTCTCAAACCCCCCCCCCCCCCCCAAAAAAAAACAGCGTTTCGTTGATTCACATGAAAAAAACAACAAAAACAAACATACACAGCGTTTCCTTGCATCGAGGGCGCCAAACACTGTGTATTGTTGGTGTGTTTGTTTTGTTTTAGAACCCCCATGCTCGCCGCGGCCTCCCTACCAGCACCCTTCTCTCTGCTTCGCAAAAACAAAAAAACACAAACAACAACAAAAAAACGTTGATTCGCAAACAAAAAAACACAGGTGGGTGGCGCGCCACGTAAAGCTTGAAACCAAAAACGGCTATAGGAGGAGCCCGGCGAAAGAAGAAACATCGGCAGAGTAAGAATCCACACGAACACGATTAAGTACATGATGAAAGGATGCGCGAAGAGCGTGAAGCTCGTCCTCCATCTCCCATCATCATCTTTATCATCATCACTATCATTTTCATCATCATCGTCGCCATTATCGTCGTCATTGCGATTATGTTCGCACTCGTACTCGTACTCGTACTTGTACTCATCATCATGCGCATCGTCGTCGTCGTTTCTCCTCGGTCCACCTCCGCTCCACCTCCTGCTCCTCCCCCTCATTCTCTTTTCTCCACATCCGAATCCTCTCGCCCTCAGCGTCCTCCTCCCAACGGGGTGGAGGCATGAGGGCCCTGCCACTGGGGCCTGCCACTGGGGCCTTCGGAGTGCTGGGGGGGGGTTGGGTGGACGCAGGATTATGACGGAGAGAAAGGAAAAGAGTATCATGAGAGGGAGCAGGAGGAAGATGAGCAGAAGGAGGAAGAGAAAGATGGTCGTTGGGGGGCCCTGGGGGGGGCGAGCAATATATATACATATATATACATACATACATACATACATACATATACATTCATATATATATAGTTATATATACAAATATGTATAGACATATATATATATATATGTATGTATATATTGATATGATGCACAAAAATATAATAATATAGTATGATATAGTTTGCCAAAATACTATAGCATACTAAAATAATATATAATATACTGTAATATTATACGAAAGGAAGTTGTATAATATAATATGATATAATATAATATGGTATTATATATTATATTCTAATAATATATAATACAGTATAATATAATATAACATCAAAAATACAATAACATATCATATAACAAATTTATCATACAAAAGAAAATAATATAATATAATATAATACAATAAAATATAATATAATATTATACGATATAGTAAAATATGATATCATATGATATGATGTGATATACTACGGTATAATAAAAATATTTAATATAATGTACCAGATTATGATATAATATACCATGATACAGTATAAAAGATTCTAATACAATAAAATATGATATAATATGATATACTATATAATATAATATAGTATACTATAGTATAATATTTTGCAAATATGGTAGAATATCATATAACATAATATAATATACTATAGTATAATATGACATCATATCATATAGTATAATATAATATAATATAGCACAGCATAGTATGATATAGTAAAACATGATATAATATGATATGTTGTTATGTATATAATACAATACAATATGATATAATATGATATAACACAATAAAGTATCATATAACCAAATATAATAACACATAATATAGTCTAACATAATATACTATAATACAATGAAGCATAAAATAATATAGCATAATATGAAATAATAGAGTACGATATATTATAATATTATATATTGTGACATAACATAATATGATTATAATATAATATATACTCTCGAACGTTCGCGTCATGCGCACTCTTGAACCCAAGGTTGATTCATGCACGTGCACGCGTTTGATCAGCTTCTGACTGGCCTCACCCGCGAGGGCATCCACGCCGTTGCATCGCGGCCCCCGGCCGGCGCGCCGGCAGCCGCCGCGCCCGCCGCGCCGCGCCCTGGGCGGCCGCTGCCGCGCCGCCGCCCGCCGCGCCGCCGCCCGCCGCCGGCCAGCCGCACGCCGCCGCGGCCCCGCCAGGCACGCGGCCGCGCGCCGAGCGCGGCGCGCCCGGGGCGCGCCAGCGCGCGGAGCGCCCGTGGGCCGCGCCCCGCGCGAGCGCCCGCGCCGCCGCGGGCGGGTCGGGCGCGGCCGCTGGGGCAGCCACGGCCGCCCGCGCCGGCAGCGGCGTCCTCGCGGGGCCGAGCGCGCGGAGCGCCATGGCGCGGCGCTGCGCGGCTGGAGCCCGTGGGGGCCGGCTGGAGCCCGAGCGGCTGCCTGGAGCGGGAGCGGGAGCGGGAGCGGGAGCGGGGGGTGGAGCAGAGCGGCACGAGACGCCCGAAAGGGTTTTTTGTGATCACATCAGAGCACCCCTTTCGGCCATGCTTGGTTCATAGATCCTCTGTCGTGCCGTGGCCCGATCACAACGGAAAAAACACCAACCATGTCAGCAAATCCTCTGGGCCGCAGACATCAAACGGAAGATTGCCCGGAGGGGGGGGGGGCGGGCACGGTACTAAAGCGACAACACGGGGCTCGGCGTAGGCGGCTCGCAGCCTCGACGGCCCATTCCAGGGCGACCAGCGGCGGAAGGAGGAGCAGCAGGAGGGCCCGAAGCAGAGGGCAGGGCAGGAGGAACGGCCGATGCAGCAGTGGGCGCAGGAGCGGGAGCGGGAAGTGGAGGAACAAGTGGCAGCAGGACGGTGCGCAGCAGGACGCTGCGCAGCAGCAGCAGAAGGAGCAGCTGCCCAGGCCGCGCCTCCACTCCAAACACCCACCGTGGAAAGTCACGATGCCGTCTCGTGACCCCTTGGGCGGGCGTGCAGCGCTGTGTTACCCCAAGTTCAATCACATCATGTCGAACTAAGCGAGACCAGACCAGCCACTACTTTAATGACCAGTCAGCTCAACCACTGCCAGATCGAACGCCGCGACTACACAATGCTATGATTTTGACGCCAGGCACGACGCACAGCAATACTCGAGTCATCAGTTACCACCTCTACGATCAAGGCTTACATGTTACGCCCAAGGTCCTACAAAACGCACGAATGGCACTGCAATCGGATGGACAGCAGTACTCATTACACGGAGGCGATGAATTGCGACAGTGGCCACGACGACAGTCCATCCATATGCAGCATTCAAGCTCTGCCACACCTATATTTCACCAGTGTATATATATATATACACAAAGTACGTGCAGACATAGGTATGTGTACGTGTGTACGTACGCATTTACAAATACAAATGTAAAACGCACGCGCTCAGATTCGCCATCGTGCCGTAGGCACTGAGTGGAGGGTCACCATGTCATTCCGAACTCTCTGCATTGAGGATTACGCGCTACACATGTATACATAAACTATGATAAAAGCTGTACGCGTATGTGTGCGTGTATAAATATATATACATACATATGTGTGGTGCGTGTGGTGCGTGTGTCGTGTGTGTGTGTTGTGTGTTGTCGTTGTGTGTTGCGTGTGTTGTGCGCTGTGTGCGTGTTGTGTGTTTTGCGTGTGTTGTGTGTGTGTGTTGCGAGTTACGTGTAAGTGTGTGTAAGGTTGTGTGTGCTATTTGTTGTGTTGAGTGGGTTGTGTTGTATGTGGTGTCCTGTGTGTCTTGTGTGTTGTGTGTTGCGCGTGGTGTGCGTGTGTTGTGTGTGGTGCATGCTGTGTGTTGTGTGTGTTGGGTGTGTTGTGTTTGTTGTGTGTTGTGTGGGCTGTGTGTGCTGAGTGTGCTGTGTGTTGTGTTTGTTGTGTTGCGTGCGTGTTCTGTGTGATGTGGATTGTGTAATGTGTGCTGTGTGTTGTGTGTAGTGTGTGTGTGTTGTGTGTGTTGTGTGCTGTGTGTTGTGTGTTGTGTGTGTTGTGTTGTGTGCGTGTTATGTGTGATGTGGATGCTGTGTGTTGTGTGTTGAGTGTGTTGTGTGTTGTGTGCTGTGCGTGCTGTGTGTTGTGTGTTGTGTTGTGCGTGTTGTGCGTGTGTGTTGCGCGTTGTGTGTAGTAGGCGTGTTATGTGCTGTGTGTGCTGTGTGTGTTGTGTGTTGAGTGTGATCTGTTTTTGTGTGTTCCGTGTATAGTGTGTTGTATGGGTGTGTGCTGTGTGTTCTGCGTTCTTTGTGTCGAGTGTGAAGTGTGTTGTGTGTGTTGTATGGATTGTGCGTTGTGTGTTGTGTGGTGTATGTGAGTTGTGTGTGCTGCGTGTGTTGTGTGTGCTGGGCGGTTTGGTGTTGTGTGTATTGTGTGTTTCATGCATTAAGTGTGTGTTGTGTGCTGTGTGTTGTGTGTTGTGTTGTGTGTTAAGTGCTGTGTGTTGTGTTGCGTGTCGTGTGTTGCGTGTGTTGTGTATTGTGTGTGTAATGTGCTGTGTGTTGTGTGTGCTGTGTGTGCTGTGTGTTGTGTGTTGTGGAGTGTGTCTGTTGTGTGTTGTGTGCGTTGTGTTGCGTGCGTGGTGTGTGTGGTGTGTGTGTGTTGTGTGTTGTGTGTTGTATCGTGTGTGTTATGTGAGTTGTGTGTGGTGTGTAGTGTCTTGTGTGTTATGTGTTGTGTGCGTTGTTTGTGTGTTGTGTGCTGTGTGTTGTGCATTGTGTTTTGTGTGTGAAGTGTGTGTTGTGGTGTGTGCTGCGTGTGCTGTGTGTGTATGTGTGTGCGTGCGTGCGTGCGTGTGTGTGTGCGTGTGCGTGTTGGGGGGGGTATGTGTGTGTGTGTCCGCCACCGTGCCTCCAGCACATAGTGGAGTATCCCAACGCGCATGCAACCCTGAGAGGTGAAGGGCTTGTGAGATCCTCCAAGGCCTGGACCCCCGGTTTCCCAGGCGCTCTTGGGCGCTGCCGGGCGCTACCGGGGTGTGTCGCATAGGCATCTGGGAGGGCAACCCCGCCCAACAGGGCCCCAAAACGAGCGAAGATGGCCCCAAGAAGCCCCTAGCAGGGTCCAAAAGGCTTCGGAGACGGCCCAAGAGCTTCCCAAGACGCACAAGATGGCGTCGAGACGGCCCAAGTGGCCTCCGAAACGCCCCAAGAGAGCTCCAAGGGAGCCCCCTAAGAGGGTTCCAGGAAGCAAAAATCAGCCAAATCCCATGAGAACGTATCTATTTTAAGCATGTTCGCATTTTCATCGTCACAACTTGCAAAACGGTCCAAAGGCCCCCATGATCGGCCCAAGGCCGCCCAAGAGGCACTCAAGAGGGGCCCAAGACAGTCCAAGAGGGCCCCAAGACGGCCCAAGAGGGCCCGAAGAAGGCGCCCAGAGAAGCCCCGGAGGGGGACACGAACGCACACTTCGAGCCCTCCGCCCCAAGAGACCCCCAAGAGGCCCGACGAGGCCCCCAAGCCGTCCCAAGAGACAACAGAACGACCCCCAAGAGACTTCAAGCGGCCCCCAAGAGGCCCCCGAGAGGCCTCCCGCGACGTCCCTGCGGACATCCTGGAGGCCTATGACCCACAACCCAGGCACGGTGGCGGGGTGGGACGAAGGCCATGAGAGATCCGCCGCCCCCTTTGGCTTGCCTCAGGGGCGCAGGGCGTGCCAGACGTCTGGGGTTTCGGTCGGTTCCTTTCTACAGAACTCCCCGTGGGGCTTCGGCCCAGCCCGCCGGCCACCCGAAGAGCTCCCAGAGTTCGGCCTCCGTTGGCTCCATCCGCTCCAAGACAGCCAGGATGGCCCAAGATGACCTTCCAAGACGGCCCAAGATGCACTCAAGACGACCTAAGATGGCATCAAATTGTCCAAGACGGCCCAAGAAGCTCCCAATAGACCTCCAAGACGGCCCAAGAATCCTCCAAGAGGGCCCACATAACGCCCCAAAGAGACAAAAAACCTTACGTCCCCTCAAGTGTTGAAAGGATTTGGGCACGTGCCAATATTCGGTCTCCCGACGGCCCAAGACGGCCCACGAGGCCCACAAGATCGCCCCAAGATCGCCCAAGAGGTCTCCGAGATGGCCCCATGACGGCCATAAAGAGGCCCCCGAGACAGCCCAAGCGACCTCTGAGACGCCCACGATGGCCTCCAAGACGGCCCTGAAGCGCCCCAGGAAAGCCCCAAGTCGGTTCAGAGGGGCCCCCAAGACAGCTTCCGACGGGGCCAGGAACGCCGAATGACGACCAAAGAGGCCCCCTAAGAAGCCCCCAAAGGCCCCCGAGAGGCCCAAGGATGCCCCCTAAGAGGCCTCCGGGAGGCCCGCAGGAAGCTCCCTAGGAGGATCCAATAATGACCCAAGAAGCTCCCAAGAGGTCTCCTCGTCCTTCTCTTCGTCCTCCTTGTTCATCCCTCCCCTCATCTTCCTCTTTCCCACCCACGCGTTCCCCGAACGGCTTCCACGACGGCTGGGGGAACGCATGGTCGAACAGCGTGGCCAAGCTTTGCCCAAGCGTGTGGCCACCTAGGCGTATCCAAAAGGCAGGGGGGCAGCAGTGATTCCCCGCAGGCGTCTTCCATCCATTCCCCAAGGAGTGGTTGCACTTGGGGACCCTTACTTCTTCTCCACGGAATTGAGCCTGCCCGTGGGTATGGCTGCTATGTGATCACCGATGCCGCCCCGTCTGGCGGCTATGTGGTCGCCGTCGCCACCCAGTCGCTCTAGGCCTGCCCGTCGGTCTGGCAGCTATGTGGTCGCCGTCGCCTCCCCGTCGCCGTCTGGGTCTGCGTTACTTTGCGTTGCGTTGCGTTACTTTCCGATGCATTCAGTTGATTTGCATTGCTTTATGTGCGCTGCGTTGCACTCTCCTGTGTTGCGTTACATTGCTTTGCATTACTTGGATTCGCATTGTTTGGCGCTGTGTTGTAGTGCTGGGTATTGCGTTGCATTGCTTTGCATTGCGTTGATTTGCTCTGAACTGACTTGTTTTGTGTTGCGTGTTGCATTGATTTGCATCGACTTGCATTGCCTGATATTGCTTTGGATTGCTGTGTACTGCTGTATATTGATTTGCGTTACCTCGCACCACATAGATTGCACCACATGAACTGCACCAACTA